CGGTATCTCAACGAAGAGATCGAAAGGTATAAGAATAAAGAGTCGGTTCACAAGAAGAAGAGCGAAGAATTGAAAGAAACCAAACGCCAACTCCAAGCCATCGAAGAACGCAATGTATCGCTCACTAAAAGGATTTGCGAATTAGAGGAAGAAATCAAGAGATTATCCATATTTAAGGGTCAGATCGATGTCTTCAAAAGACAGAAAGAGGACCTCAGACTCAAAGTAGGAGAGGAAGGGTTCCGGGCGGACAGGGCTGAGGCCGAGACCAACCGATTGTCCAAAAAGTGCGAAGAATTACAACAAGAAAAGGATAAATATATCAACGAATTGTTTGATTTGAAGCAAGAGTTGAGTCAACAGAAGGGCTTAAACGCCATGAGTTTTGAGACCGAATTTTCGCACGCAATCCATTCGAGTCAACAATCGGTGGAAATGATGCAAAAAAGTGATTCCAATTCGACTGAAATTCGTGAGAAATTAACGCGTCTTGAGTTCGAAAACACAAAATTGAAGGAAAGTCGTGACGAAAGACACGAACTTCTTGAGTGCCAACTCGAAGAAGAGAGGCTCCGAGTCCTCGAGATTGAGAGTGAGAAGCGACTCATCAATCAAAAGGTGATTCAATTGGAGGCAGAGTTAAGGGATTCGTCGGTCCGACAGTCGGATGACGACCAGATGCAGACATTTCAGGACATTATCAAAGAGAAAGCGCTGTCACTCGAGACCACTAAACACGAGTTACTGAACGCACAGCAAGAGATTGAATCACTTAAGGGAGTGATTGTCAAAAAGGATGAAGAGCTCACTGAGAGAGAAGACCAGTACAAGAAGTATGTCAACAAAGCGAAGGCAGATTACGTTGTATTTTACAGTGTATTTTACGTACACAAATTTTTCATTTTGTAAAATACGTTCTTATAAAAATAATGTGCGATTAAAATCAGGAAATCAAAACCAAAATCAATTGTTTTGGGCTATTTTAGAAAAACAAATGACAAATATTGAGGCAATTTTTGCCGAAAATCAATAATTGAATCAGCAACTCGTATAAAATATAACTTTCTTATAATCGGGTTTTACTGTATACTTTAATAAGATGTATTAAATTAATTTGATTGTAAAATATATAATAATTAATAGTGAATTAGTTTTAAAAGGTTCTACCATGTATAATTAGTAAAGACGAGATTTTTCGGGAGTAAAAACATTCAAATTCGGGAATATACATGGTCAAAATCGGGAAAATTCGGGAATTACTTTTATATTGAATTTTCAAACGATAATTATGCTATTAAGTGATTCTAAAAAGGTCTATGTACACTTATAACGCAAAATTATGACATTTATTAAGGTAAACATAATTGCCGAGTATATAAATATGCTGTTTGTATCCAATGTTTTATATTGTCAATAAGCATCATATCCATAAGCATTGGTTTTATCTATTCCATTGTAGTATAATATAAGTTTATCGCAGATTAGGTAAACTTTGCAGCAGGTTTTGGTATTCATTTAGCAAATTCATTGAAATTTTGATTAAAAAAGTGTATTTCCGGGACTATTTTTTAATAAAATAGTAGCATTTCGGGAGTTTTTCCAAAAATATGCCAAAATCGGGAATTTTCTCAAAATGTGCCAAAATCGGGAATATTCGGGAATATCAAAGTGGTATATTTTTACTCCATTATAACCCCAAAGACTAAATGGATGTTATTCCCGAGCATTCTATTAACTAATTTTAATCGGGAATTCCCGAAGAATCTCGTCTTTAATAATTAGTGTAAATAAAACAATTAAATAGCTTAATTTTAATTTATAAACTGTTAATTTTTTCCCCATAGTAAGTAAAATTACGTGTATATTACGTGCATTTTTGTATTTTACAACGTAAATTACGTAGCTTAAAAAAATCCTTGTAATTTACCAACCTTACTAGAAATACATATAACAGTAACGTGTAATTTATTATAACATACTATACCGTAATATATACTACAGTTTTAATTATAACTTATTTATAGTACGATTTGAAAACAGTTCTGTTATAATGAATGCCTTTCTCTAGACGTCGGCACTCTTCTGATTGCAAAAACAAAAACTAAGTATTAAAAGATTTCTTTTAAATGATTACAAACTTTAATTAAACAAAATATAATTGAAATAATTATAACATTTACCATTAGTTGGGTCAAGTGTTGCTATTAACGTATTTAAACACATATTCTACACTTTATTTTTGTATTAATTGACTTAATTAATACAAATATCATTAATACTTAAAATTTTTAGCGCAAAAATAATAAAATAATAATAAAATAACAATAAAATATTAATAATAAAATACTTGAGATTTTGAATAAGCCAAAAGTAATGTTAATTTGAAGAGTAATCTATTATAAAAAATTAAACATAAGTGAACTAAACTAAATAAAATGCTCAAAATTTATTAGCTTTTAATTTAAAATTGTTTTATTCAGAAATGTTTTACGAATTCAATGAACATTTGATTTGAAAATAAACTATATTATGAAATAAAGACTAACATTATATTTAAATAAAAACAAATAACAATTTTATATCTAAAATACTAATTGAAACTACATTTGGATGAATGAAATGCTTGTCGACTTGTCTTCTGTGATAACTATAACTACATCTGAAAAATAATTGTAAAGAAAAATAAGTTTTAATGAATTATATTCAAAAGCAATGAATAATTCTGTGAAACAAAACAAGTGATTATCTGAATTAATAATTAATGTATTAATCGGTTAAATGACATAAAGACATACCAAAGACCAAAGTATACAACCCATAGGATAAGTAGTAAAAGGATTAGAATTAGATAATTAACAAATAAACTTTGGGCCTCTTTGTCCGGCATCCGAGCAAATGTTGTGATTATAACTGAACACAAAAGTTAATACAAATTATAAGTCAGTAGTAATTGAATGGTTGTTACGATTCTTGTATTTGGGCTTAGGATTGACTTCAAGAATCACTTTCTCTTAACATTAAACATTCATTTTTGACATTAAGTTTTGGGAAACACTGTTTGAAGTGAAATAGTGCTCTGTTTGAGAAACGACTCACAGATTCTAATATTAGTGTAAAATATTATGAAATTATGAAAAATATTTTTAAACATTTCAATAATATTAGTCTTATGTGAGGAATGAAGAAATGTTAACTGTATTTCCAGTAAGTTTTTGGGGACTTAAAAGCGGACGCATATGACTCGACAGAGAATTAGTGCATTCCTTCAATCAAATCATGATTTTTAAATGTCTTGTAAATCTTTAAATATATTCACGGATTAGCAAATATTTATAGACCTTTTAAATCTAAAAGAAAAATATTTTTGTATTAATTATAGCATTGATTATCAATTATCAGTTTTCATAAATGTTAAAATCGTAAAAATAATAGAATATTATTCGCTAATATATTAAATACACATATAATTGCAATTAATTTGATTAATATTTTCATAAATATGTCATTGAATTAAAATAGAAAACTAGAAAATGAGACGAGTATTGACTTTAGCTAAAGTTAAAATATTTTTATATTTTGGCAAATAGTAAGGCAAACATCTTTTCGATGCCTAACTGTTTATTAGGCTAATAGTTGTACGAATAGTACTTGTATTTAATCTGTAAATCGGAAATATAAATGTAATATAACGAGAGAAATATGTAAACTATTTTATTTGACTCTCGTTTTTTGGCTTCCGATAAAATATTTTAAATGTAATTAATATTTGAATTCGGGATAAAAAAGATAAAAAGTTTGAAAAGGGATTAGTGTTTGGGTAATAGACAGACAAAACAAATCACTCACTCCTGTGTAAAGCACCCAAAGAATTACCAGCAATAGTATAATAACCACATAATTCATGATAAGACTCTTCGCCTGTTCGTCTGCTCCACCACCCATTGTCTTCTTCGCAAGATTCAAATGCAATCAATAAATAGTAACTGAGAACTGATCCTCAATGCAAAGGTCCGGCGAAGAGAGTGATTGAATCAAATGGAAACGAGAGGTTGTTTTGGAAGTTAGCAAAAGAACAAAACCCAGTTATGGTTAGCAAGCATTGAGTCCCTCTATAATAGTTTTGATGATTACGAATGTCTTAATGCGATATAATATGTGCGCAAATGTTTCTTTGTGTCACTTTAGTTATCTTAAAATGTGTTGTATGTCTTGAGCCAAGTATAGACTCAATCACATAACAAACTTGCGATGAAAAACGTGCAAAAACGCCATTCCTTTATAACTACTGAACTGAATGTCTTCACACAAAAAAACATGTATCAAAATCTTGTGTTACATGAGTTCTCTCTCTCTCTCTCTCTCTCTCTCTCTCTCTCGGAATCAATGCTATAAATACATCGAAAGAAATCCAATATCATATATATTTGTATTAAATAAATTTTATTATATTTTTAAAGAATATTCTTATTAATTACATATCGGATAATAAAATGAAAGCAATATTTATTGAAATAATGATAAAATATATTTCAATAGTAATAAACAAGTACTCAATGATTATATGGCACTCAATCAGAGAAAAGTGTTATACTTGTGTTCGTTGCAGAGTCTGACAAAATAAATAAATTAAATAATTATTATTTAAAAATCTCTTTTATAAGTTACATAAATACTGCACTAAAAAAACACTAAAGTCTTTAATAACTGTTTAGTAAATCTATGGGTAAATCAAAATTGCAATCAATCATAAATCATGCCATTAATCCAAAGCTGTGTTAACTGTTAAACCAAAACACTAATCGAAGAATTCGCTATAAAATAAACACAAATTAAATAAATAAATAATAAAAATGATTATAAATTAATATACAAATACAATGACTATATTTTGTTAAATGTTATTCAAAATATGAAACAAAATATAAAAAGTGCATTAAAATAAGCAACGAGTGAACACTACCTCTGGGAAACGGTCGGCATATTATACTTGCGAGTCGTGGCCTGTCGTTGACGCGCAAGAAATGACACGTTATTTTGGCTCGAATTTAACGAACCGTTTCGTATCCTCTCTTCGGCTGACTTTCTCTGTAAGTGTGAGCTCTGAAAGGGGTTTCAAATGTAATCAATTATAAAGTGTGATAATTATGTGAAAATCATGAAAACAAACCAAATTGTGAAAAGAAATTGTCAGTAGCTTTGCCTCCATTTCCCTGAAACCGTTAGACTCTTCAAAGTCGTGCTTATATTTGGAAATTTCCGACTCTTTTTGTTGTACTAATTGTTTCCAATAATTAATATCATTGTTGGCATCGGAAGACGTGCTGCTAATACTAGGAGTGGATGCAATACTATGCTGTGACAACTGATCCAACGCATTGGTCACTGCCTTCGCTTTGTTGACATACTTCTTGTACTGGTCTTCTCTCTCAGTGAGCTCTTCATCCTTTTTGACAATCACTCCCTTAAGTGATTCAATCTCTTGCTGTGCGTTCAGTAACTCGTGTTTAGTGGTCTCGAGTGACAGCGCTTTCTCTTTGATAATGTCCTGAAATGTCTGCATCTGGTCGTCATCCGACTGTCGGACCGACGAATCCCTTAACTCTGCCTCCAATTGAATCACCTTTTGATTGATGAGTC